TAACTAAAACCCAACTTAACACCTAAGCCTAACAGCCCAAACTTATCCTAAACCTAATTGGGGTGACAGAGCCCCCCAAACCCCCCTCCTAACTTCTCACTCTGTTCATGACAAGGGCCACAGTATGCTAGAATTACATAAGTGGTCAGTCAGGGTCATCCCTAATTGGGCCGTGGGATTCAGGGCCCGGATGCGAAAAGTCAAGAGTCGGCGATGATACTTTCTGTCGGGACTCGGCAGTGAACAGCTGTGGCCTTGCGTATGTCTTCTACAACGACCATCATCACGTCTGATACCCTTCACTGTGTCCCTCTCGTATACTTTGTTACTTAATTTCTTTGTCGCTCAGTTTGCAAGATGAGGACTCCTTCCAACCTACTTCACGTGCGCGGTGCCGACCCTCTGGGACAACGAACACCATCGCCTGAACACCCAATTGTCAGTGTTCGCGATTTTCCAAAGTTGCAGGCGCCGTACTTGGCTGCTTTGAGGCCCTCGGAAAAAACGTCGGAAAGGTCTGGTTCTCGCAAGTATGTCCATAGTCTACGTCCATGTGCTTTGTTCATAATTTACGCGAATTTCTGACCATTTTTATTTCTCTCGCCCATTGCAGATCAAGGCCTTCAGTACGTGTCCTACCACTTGTGTACACAACTGCGAAAAAATTGACTTCGCAATTGAATTCACTACCTTAGATATCACCTTCTCTTCCTCCTGGATGGACGTCGTATATACATCCAAAAGGCTGGGTTTATTATTTCAACGCAGACCATCGAATAGTCACCGACTTCAAGATTGAGTACCAATTGGGTCTGCAAGAGTTCCAGGCCGCCTTGCGCGAAGTCCAGGGGTTTCCTGTCGAACTGCTACCTGAGTCGTGTGAGCTCTGGATAGACTGTAAACTGGAGTCTGGGGTGAATCAAGCGGAGAAGCTCTTCATAGACCACGAGAAGCGAAGGCTCAGCCAGAAAGTTCCTGTACATCGGCCAGGTTCAGAAACTGACGACTGGTCGTGGCAAGATGAGGAACTCGACGTTAGGCAACGTGCGCTCACATGGTTCTCATATTGCCAAACATGCAATACTTAACGGATCACCGGACAGAATTAATTTATGAGCAAGCATATTGGGAGTATATCATGAGCCATCCTTGTCATGCACCACTTCCTTCACACGCCGAAGAAGATGCAAAAGCGGCTCTGACCTGGTTCTTACAAGGTATAGTTCATCATTTAACCTTTCGGTTTGGCGATCGTCTTACGACTTGTGCGCAGATCGTCTTCTCTCTTCAGAAGAGAGCATTGCGCCTTATTCGCGGGAACTTAGCAAAGACTTGCTTGATGTTCTGTCGATTATGTCAGACAATGAGGAAACGTTTAATTCTCCACGAAATGGATATATCAAGACTCATCTTGTTGCGAGTATTCTAGAGCGAATAGGTGCGCCTAGCAGATACAGGTATTAGGACTCCGTTCTAATTGTGTGGCAAGCCGGGGAGCGGTTACGACAGCATTACGGTCAACAAGATGCTCGACGTTATCTAAAGAGGACGTTGAAGATCAGAAACGATGACCTAACCAGGCCGCATGCCGCACCGTTCAGCCTACTCTTAAGCTTCGCTATGTCCATACTTTGCTTTGGAGCGCCCTATTCATACTTAAGGCACATCAATGAGTTCTTCATAAGTGGTCCTGGAAGGACAGACACTATAATGGAACGCTGGCAGACATTTGTAGATGAAAATGTGGCAGACTGGACTAACACCAACCTTGTGGTAAGTGTTCTTTCTACCTGTCGGCAAATAAGGAACGAGCCTCAGAAGTTATCGTAATGATCTAGGCGACTGTGTTGGTCAGTGCTTCCGTAGCATTGCTTGCCATTCCCGGAATCGACTCGACAACCCGAATCTTGGGTATTAACTCCACGTTATGTTCGATCGCAAGTATTATCGTCGGCCTGCTTAATGTCTGGCAACACCAGCACAAGTCGCGCTCAAACCTTGAGCTAACCGTCATTGTAAGGCTCAATATAGAATCTAGCTTCTATGTCGAATCAAGCCGGCTAAATATTCTCAATTACAGTTCGACTTTTTTGACAAAGCAGAGAGAATCGTAAAGAGCGACGAGCTACTAGCCATCCTTCTTGCACTGCCGATGGTGTTACTAATTTGGTCAACACTTTTGTTTGCGGCATCGATGGTCACTTTTGCATGGCTCGGAGTTAACGAGACAGCTTTGGAAGCAAGCAATGGTGATGAATCACTCGCTGACGTCAAGTTTGGGCTGCCCACTGCCTGGATAGCAACAGGCTGTCTTAGCTTCCTAGTAGCCCTGGTCCTTTTCTCGTTGCTCTTTTTCTGGAGGGTAAGTCGGATTTTTGTTATCGACTGATCACTTTCCTTGTACTAACAATGGACGCGATGAAGGTATGGAGGCCTTCAAGCTTCCGGAAAGCTGTCAGAGAGAAGAAGCCTTACAGGTACAAGCAATGGCTGCCTCTTCGCCGCTAAGCCGAGCTTCTGTAGTTTTAATGACTCGCCTTTTCTGGACGGATATTTAAATTAAAAAATGAAACGACCCTTGGAGAATCTAAGGGCATATTTAGCCATTACTTCCGGTAAGCATATGGACCGACATATTCGATTCGTCTGGGCGCACGCCATAAGGCTTTGGAATTGATAAGGTAATGATGCTGTGTTCATTGGCTGTGTGGGGCTGCAGACTTGGTCTCGACTTTTCCCTCCCTAGTCTTGTTTCGCCGCAGATCGTCCTTCACGGAAGTTTGTTCTCGAGGGTTCATCAAGATTCTGAGATTGAGTCTGAACCAGGGACGTTAGTTGCTCAGCACGATGTCCCTTTGTTTTGACTGGGAACATCTTCGAACGTAATCGCGGAGCCCTGGATGTACACATTTTGACGGAGGATCTCGTAAGCCTTCCGTATCATTCATTCCGATTCCCCTCGTTCAATTGTGCATGGTATTTGTCCACCAGATTCAGTTCTTATTATGAGATGATTAGTTCATCAACGGACGAACCACGAGACGATGACTTCATAATGTCTCAGTTAGAATACATACAATATAAGGACAAGAGACACTGAGCAGTCAATTGTCACCTCACCCCTTGTCTATGCATGCCCCCCTTAAGTTCTCCCTCTCAACAGGTTATGAGCCTTGAGCTCCCTACATACATGCATCCACTGTACACTCTAAACTCTTTACTCACATACATTTGCACACATTTGCATCATGGTTCCCCCACATACAGATACACACTGTAAACCAGCCAATGTACCTAAATACTTTGGTCAAAACATTACAATGCTTAAGACTGAAGCAAACTACAAGATGTAGCACTACCACATTGTTTCTAGTGTTGCAGCTATGTACTTCAAACACTTACTAAAGGATGAACTACAGAACAAAGCTGAGAGGGAGATGGCTAAGGCTATTCATGCATGCATAGTCAATAACATTGTCAACACAATATTAGCAAACTATATACACTTTGATATGTCTATCCCTCAGTTAATGAAAGTGCTTGAAGAATGCTTTAACCCTCAGACAGTATGTAAAAAGGCTATTGACAAATCAGTACTGTTTATTTGTAGAGACTATGTAAAACATTTCAGACATACATTAGACAGACTTGAGGAAGCATACACAACTCTGTCTGCTAACAGTGATCCACTACACAACTCTATATACAAAGCAGTAATATTGCTTGCCACTCCTGAGCAATATACACATGTAGTAAATACAATAATACAATCTACTGATGCCCAAAACAAAGGCAAACCAGTCAATGAACATAAGAAAGTCAAACCAAAGCAACTAATCCTTACATTACAGAATGCCTACAACAATTACTGTGCTAAACAAGTACAAGATTCCAATGATCAGACAAAGAATAATGCACACATTAATACAATGTATAAAGCCAATAAGCAGAGGAAATTCAATCTGCCAAATCTGTTCAATCCAACAAAAGCAAAATGTTTCAATTGTGGAAAAACAGGACATTTCTCTAAGGAATGCTACAAACCTCCTACTGAAGCTACAAAGCTTGCATGCACCAAACATCAGGCTAACATTGTGCATAAAACAAATCAAACTGTAGAAAACACAACAAACACATTTATTATTAAAAACCCAAACAAAAACAATGTTGAATTAAAAGAAGGCAACATTGAAATGAACAATAATGCCTACACTCTTATTCTGAGCAACCAGGACAAACAATTCGAACAATACATTTCCTAGGTATGTACCAATGTATTTACAAATACAATCATAGCTAACAAGAAATCCTATATGTAAACAATGGATTTACTTGATTCTAGTGTATCAATACATGCTACTCCTTATCTATTTCGATTAACAGATGTACACAACATAACTCCTACAATTGTAACTTTTGCAAATAGGTCAATAATGACTCTTAATCAAGCTGGATCTATGTGTATCAAAATCCCAAAGAATATACAAGAAAAAAGTATTATAACATTACAAAACGTCTATTACTATCTACAAATGACCTTTTCCCTCATAAGTCAAGTGCTACTATGTAGGGAAGGTTATTCTTTTATGTTTACAAATGATAATTGTACTATAACATTACTATGTAATGAATACATCAGACATATACAATTGAGAAATAACTTGTATATTTTGTACAATAATCATTTATTAAAAACAATGAACAAACTATCTATTTATAATATACATAAATGCCTTGGACACATAAGTTACAATTATATTAAACAATTATTAAAGACACAACCAAGTGTACTATCAACTAAAATAATGAACTATGAAGAAAAAGAATGTATTGAATGTATAAAAGTAAATATTGAACATACACTAATACCAAAACTACATTAATCTCCTCTTGCAAATCAATTTGGAGATCTTATTCATATTGATATTATTGGTCCTATTGAACTGTACACATATAAGAACATACACTACTTATTAACAATTGTAAACGATTCTACTCGTTAGTGTATAATGCTCAAATTACAAACAAAATCCAATGTATATACATAATACATACAATGGACAACTAAAATATTTACACAGTATAGAGTTAAAATAAAACTTTTACAAAGTGATAATGATACTGTATTCCTTAGTGAAGATTTCCAACAATATTTAGATTCACAAGGAACAAAACAAAGATTAACAGTACATCATACTCTACAGCAGAACAGAATAGCAGAACGAATGTATAAAACTATATTTAGAGGTGTAAGAGCATATCTAACATCTACTGAATTACTGTTTACATTATGGGCCAAAGTAGCAATTCATATTACCTATATTCATAATAGAACACTGTGTACTGCTTTAAATTATAATACCCTACATTACAAACATTACAGAACACACAGAACAATTGATAATATATACGAATTTGGTTAATATATTATTATTTGCAACGAAAATCCTACAAAAATACAACAGCAAGGTATCATTGCTTGTTGGATAGGATTAGACAATGAAAGTAAAGGCTATAAAACTTAGCATGATAATAAAATTACCATCAAACAAAATATTCAATTTCTCAAACGGTAAACCTCCCTTAAATTGAAGGGGGAGAAAATAGACAAT